CTCAGTATCTTACAGGCTACATACAAATACACATACAATTTATACTCCTCTGCATGTTAGAGATTCTTATCTTTTGCTTGACACCCAATTTTCATATCGGTTTAATAAAAAATAATGTATATTTATAAACATCAAATATAATGTAAAACAGCCATTCAGCCTTACGCCTGAACACACACATTCCAACGTGAAATTAAGCACTATTCATTAGCCTTGTAGGGGAAAGTAACCAATACCTATGAGCCCAGCTAGGAGCCTGGTGGATATTTAAGAAAAAAAAACACACACAAAAAACTTGAGCTCTGGCTGATTTAGTTCAGTGGTTAGAGCATCGGCCTGTGGACAGGTCAGGGTTTGATTCCCAGTCAAGCGTACATTCCTAGGTTACAAGTTCTCTGGCCCCGGTGGGGGTGCATGCAGGAGGCACCCAATCGATGTGAGACACATTGATGTTTCTCTGTCTCCTCCTTCTCTTCCTTTCTTCCACTTTCTCTAGAAATCACTGGAAAAAATATCCTCTGGTGAGGATTAAAAACACACACACAAAACAACCAAATAAACAAACAAACCTGAGCTGTTTTTTGTCAGAAATAGAAAAGGAAAATATAATGATCAAGCTCAAGCTCAAGCTCATGATTTTCTCATTTTCTTTCCAACCTATTACCTTCATTACCTTAAGGTTCAAGAACTTGAAAGGGTGGGGAGACAACACTTGTAAATGTCTTCTAAGGACTACTTCCCCTTTCTGCACCCCATGCAGTATCAATCAGGTCCTGTCAGAATTACCAAGAACTGGATCTCTGGTTTATAAAGAAGGTACATTCATTTATTTTTCAATTTCAAAAGGAAAGCAGAGAAAAGGGGAAAGTAGTGAGGGATCACAATAAAACTTTGGAGGTTTTAAAAGTAAGCTTGTTGATAATAAACTCCAGGTCAGTGTCCCCTTCTGTCTCAATGGTATTAAACTTGGGATCTTGCCAAACCAATATTTTATCCAGGTGTTCAGATTCCAGGTCCTTAATGAAAAAGAAAAAACTGGCCCTAACCGGTTTGGCTCAGTGAATAGAGCATCGGCCTGCGGACTGAAGGGTCCCAGGTTCGATTCCAGTCAAGGGCATGTACCTTGGTTGCGGGCACAGCCCCAGTAGGAGGTGTGCAGGGGGCAGCTGATCCATGTTTCTCTCTCATTGATGTTTCTAACTCTCTATCCCTCTCCCTTCCTCTCTGTAAAAAATCAATAAAATATATTTTTTAAAAATGGTTTTATCTGCTGGCCAACTTTTGTTGTTGTTAATTCTCACCCAAAAATATTTTTCCCATTGACTTTTAGAGAGGGAGGGAGGGAAAGGGGAAACACCAATGTGAGACACATTGGTTGGTTGCCTCCCCCATGCATCCTGACGGGGTCGGGGATTGAACCTGCAACCAAGGTACTCGCCCTTGACCAGGAATCAAACCCACGATCCTCTGGTGCACAGGCTGACACTCCAACCACTGTGACATCTGGCCAACTTTTTTTGTAATGGTGCATGATTATTTCCTTTGAGCCATAGGATTAGGAAGACTTTGCTACTTACAGCTTTGAATTCTTCAGTGATACTGATGTCTACACTGGAAAACAAAAACCAGAAACTGCCCTGACCAGGTGGCTCAGTTGGTTGGAGTGTCATCCTGTACACTAAGATTGCAGGTTTGATTCCCGGTCAGGGCACATACCTAGGTTACAAGTTTGATCACTGGTAGGGTCACATACAAGAAGCAACTGATTGATGTTTCATTCTCCCTTCCTCTCTCTAAAAGTCAATTAAAACATATCCTCAGGTGAAGATTAAAAACAAAACATTCAGAAACCTTCATCACAATACTCAACAAAATCTCTGATTAAAGATGTAACTATAGTCCTAGCTGGCTTGGCTCAGTGGATACAGCGTCGGCCTGCTGACTGAAGAGTCCCAGTTTGATCCTGGTCAAGGGCACAAGCCCAAATTTTGGGCTCAATCCCCCGTGTGGGGGCATGCAGGAAGCAGCCAATCAATGATTCTCATCATTGATGTTTCTGTCTCTCTCTCCCTCTCTGAAATCAATAAAAAATATATTTAAAAAAAATGTGACTATAAAGATGATTCAATGAAAATTTAAATGACTATCCATGGGGTGGAGGCAGGAGTGGGCTGGAGGGGATCAAGGGGGGAAAAAGGAGACATGTAATACTTTCAACAAAAACGATGAAAAAAAAGAATATCCATATAAATTCAATTTCAGGATATAAAAGTATTTTTAAACGAGACACAAAATCTAGAAGACAAAGAATGACAAGAGTTGACCACAGCCCTGACCGGTTTGGCTCAGTGGATAGTCAGCCTGCGGACTCAAGGGTCCCAGGTTCGATTCCGGTCAAGGGCATGTACCTGGGTTGCGGGCACATCCCCAGTAGGGAGTGTGCAGGAGGCAGCTGATCGATGTTTCTCTCTCATTGATGTTTCTAACTCTCTATCCCTCTCCCTTCCTCTCTGTAAAAAAATCAATAAAATATATTTTAAAAAAAGTTGACCACATAAAAATAAAAAAAAATCCTCACCTGAGGGTATTTTTGATTTTTAGAGAAACAATGACATGAGAAACATCGATGGGTTGACTCCATATGTGCCCAACTGGGGCCCCTTCCCAAGCTCCAAGTCCCCCTCCCACCATGTGGGAATAGAGTGAAGGCCACCTGCAGGCAGAGACCTTGGGAGCCTGGCTAGTTTCTTGGTCAGGGAGAATCTGCTTCTGAATGTGGGCCCAAATTATAAACAACCGCAGAGAAACAGCTTATATTGTGATTTCAATTCGAGCCCCTTGCATGAATTTTGTGCATTAGGCCTCTAGTGTTAAAATAACACCCAGCTGCCCCATACACACCTGTCCTAATAAAACTGTCTCTCTCACGGTTTTCTGGGTTACTCCTTTGGAACCCACAATTTTCGGCAACTCTCTTTCTGAAACAGAGGACCCCCTACCCCCCTTTTCCTAAGTTCCAACAGCTCTTCTTTTGGCTTTTGTAACTTGTTCCCTGAGCCCAGTCAGCCCAGTTGGCTCACTTCTACCTTTGTGACTTTCTAAATAAACATTTGCTTGTAAAAATGAGAACATTTTGATTGCTAAATATAAGACACTGTTGAGTGCCTCACATGTACACATTTCATTTTTTTAAAATATTTTATTGATTTTTTACAGAGAGGAAGGGAGATAGTTAGAAACGTCGATGAGAAACATCGATCAGCTGCCTCCTGCACATCCACTGAGCCAAACCGGTTTCGGCCACATTTCATTTTTTTTTTTTTTAAATATATTTTATTGATTTTTTAGAGAAGGGAGAAGGATAGAGAGTTAGAAACATCGATGAGAGAGATCGACCAGCTGCCTCCTGCACGCCCCCCAGTGGGGATGTGCCCGCAACCAAGGTACATGCCCTTGACCGGAATCGAACCCGGGACCCTTGAGTCCACAGGCCGAAGCTCTATCCATTGAGCCAAACCGGTTCGGCCACATTTCATTTTTATAAAAACCCACAACCTATCTATTTTATAGATGAAGAACTGAGGCATAGAGAGGTGAAGAGACTATGCTACACTGCTGGTTTTGAAGATGGAAAGGGCCAGGAACCAAGGAAAGCAGACGGCCCCGAGAAACAAAAACAAGGAAATAGGCTTTGCCATTAGTCTCCTTGGAAGGAACCAGCCCTGTTACCTTGACTTTAGTCCAGTGAGATAGATTTTGGACTTCTGACTTCTAGACTGTGAAGCTCATAAGTTTATGCTGTTTTAAGCAAGTTAAGTTTGCAGCAATTTTTTCACAGCACCTGTAAAAAACTAATACAACATAAAGAAGGATATTTTTTTCTTTTTAAAATTGAGGTACAGTAGGTCCTCGGGTTACATCGGAGATCTGTTCCTATGGCGCCATGTAACTCGATTTTTGCTGTAAGTTGGAACCCACCTACATAAGCACCTACGTCACTCACATGGAGCACATACACAGCAGTAATGAAGTGAAACAGTAAAAAAAAATTTAAAAGATAATTCCTGACCTTTATTGTGGTAAATAAAGCACATATGTACATACGACGAAATGACGGAACTTTTTTTTTTTTATAATGGGAGATGGCAACGTAACCACGAAACAACATACATTAACCCCTTCCCCAATAATTTTTTTGTTAAAAACGTTTCTTTTTCAGACTAATTTTTTTATTTTGGTTCTATATAGTATTTTTGATGCTGGTTATGAAAACAGTTTGTAATTATTTTTTCTTCCCATTTTTGTGGTTAAGAATAGTATTTCCTCAGAAAGTTTCTAGATGAAATTATTTAGAATGGTACGTATGTAGCTGGTTTTTTAAGGTAAAGTTTTTAGACGAGTATACTCGTCGACGACTGAAAAAAGAACATTTTGTGAAAACGTGTATACACGTTTCTGCCGGGGAAGGGGTTAAGTCCGAGGTAACCCAAGGACTGCCTGTATAGGTGCTCTCCCTCCCCAGAGCACACCCTTCTCTTTCTTTCCTCCCTCCCTTCCTCAGGTGAGTAACCATTACCTTCCTCTCTTCCAAACTCTAAGGGCCCTTCCTTTGCCTCTATAACTTGTTCCTAAGCCCATTTCTTTAACAAATTGATTCTTCTATCTGTGATTTTATAAAATGTTCTTATAAAAAATTGAGGTGTAATTGACATTGTTAGTTTCAGCTATACAACATAGTCCAATGTTTGCATGTCACAAAATGACTTCATTCTCTATGTGGATTTTGGACATGAGTAAACATAGATCTAACACAACCAGATCAATCATATCAAAAGACTTGTTTTTCAGATGGAATTTTAACAAACTATATTCTAAGTATTAATTTTTCACATGAAACTAATTTTCATCTTCCCACACACGAAAAAAACCCACGTGGAGCCACATGTCTGTGGGTGTTTCTACATTCATGATAAAGGCAATCAGATTAAGAAAAAGTCTAATCACAAAGGAATATAAAACTATTTATTAACCACTGTTTACCAGTATTTACAATAAAGTAAACAATATACAGTTGGGTAACATTCTGTTTACTACAAAGCTATTGTTTTTCCTGGCTTTTGTCGAACCAGTACCCCAAATACTGAGACTGAGCCTACATGTGAAGACTGAGTTGGAGTAAAGAGAAAACATTCAGACCAAGAGTTCAGATTACAAAAAGTCTGTTCATCCATTTATTCCAGCAGGTCCCAAATTGCCAAGGTCTCCAACAATCTGATTCGGTATCCATGAATAAAGTCTTACACATTCCATGACCCTATTTTTTTAGTCAATCTAGCATAGGGATTTAAACTTCTTATAAAGGAACATTTTATGAGGTGAAACCTTTAAATAAGTATTGCTTACCTAAATAAAACACATCAGGGTTTGCCTACTTTTCTCATTTGGGTGAGGAGGTTATTGGCAGTGATAAAATTTTCCTTTCAGGGGTTTTGCAAATAAACTTGCATTTATGATTGTAGAAATGGATTCTGATATGTCTACTTTAAATTGTCCAATTTATACTGCTTACATTATATTTAAACTGTCCAATTAATTATAAATTATCTATTTTCAAAGGTTTAAAGCTTCAGGAAAAATTTCAATTTAACTTCAAATGATTTTTTCCCTTAGGTTGCTGAAAATGATGGCAGTTCAGAAACACGAGCTTATCTATGGTTGTGAAATGGTTTTGTTTTGGTAAGAAAAAAAAAAAGAGAGAAAACCATTTACATATGTATACACACCTACCGCTCCCCCCACCCTCCCCAATAAACAAAAACCCCACAATGATCCTTAGGCACATACAAATTCTGACTGAGTAATGACTATGGAGATTTCCCTCAACATTTAGAAAAGCTTCTCTAATGCAGAGGAAAAAAATACAACATGGTATCAAATGTTCTTTTCTGATAAAGGAAGCAACTACAGAAAGCTTTTGTTCAAAGTAACCAGTGCTATAGATGCAACCCCCCCCCAACAACTCCCCAGCACTACTTCAAAACAAACATATCAAACTTGATTTTCATTATAATGTAGTTCTTTCTTCACATTAATAAATCAAAAAAAGACCAAGACCCAGATTTTATATATATGTATAAATATATATAAAAAGCAATGCAAACAATTATTGGGCTTCGTCTTCTGGACAAGAATGCCAAGTTAGTCTTTCTTCATAGAAAGCAATTACAATTTGAGGACACTTCATATTTGCCTCTTTTGCCAGCACCAAATCAGCCTCATCTGAATCTTTCCTGTTGTGAGGAAAAAAAAAAAAATTCAGTTAAAAGTCTAAACCCTTTTTGTCAAATGAGAATTGCTCAATGTATCGTAATTTAATTAGATTATTTAACGATTCAGGAGGATTATGAGGTACTTGTGCCAGGGTTCCAATAAAATTTCATTTTATAAAACAGACCAGTTTGCTAATCTTTGCTTTGAAATATCATTAGCAAAAGTAAGTAGAATCATCCCTTCGGCAGATAATTATTCTCTATCTAATGATAAAAACTATAAAACCCTTTCTACATAAAGCCTCACAGGAAAAAAAAAAGCCCATTGCCCTGACTGGGTAGCTCAGTTGGTCAGAGCATCGTTCCAATATGTTAAGGCTGCAGGTTTGATCCCCAGTCAGGGTACCTATTAAGAATCAACCAATGAATGCATATATAAGTGGAACAACAAATCAATATCATTCCCCCCCTCCCCATTATCTGTCAAAAAAAAAAAAAAGCCCATCTATTTGTACTTTATATGTAACAGTAATCACCCACACACTTACCATTTCATAAGAAACATTAACTCTCCACTGCTGTCTGTGGCACCAATTATTCGTTCAGGATCAAGACCTCTGGCAAAGCCTCTTGGTTTATCAGCCTGTTTAGAAGTTAAATGATTATTTGCATTTATGTTTCCACACAGCAAATTAACTTCCAATTTGTTTTTGTGACATATAACTTTTAAATAAAAACCTTTCAATAGTGAAACAGAAATGATTAGAGCACACTTCACATTTAATTCAAAACACATCATAATTTCTATTAACCTAACCTTACATGCAGATAAAAAAAATCTGGATGTCTGAAAGTATTCTGAACCAGAAATTAAGAAAACAGACAAACCAATACCTTTATTTCTGATAACTTTAATAATTACAAATCCTTAAAGTTAACATTTCAAATCACTTTAAGAAATCTTATAAAATACTTCCTATAAACTAGTGATTCTCAAAGTGTCTGAGGGTTCTTGGGAATCCCTGAGACCTTTGGTGTGTCCATTTATCCATAAGGTCCCCTCTTTTCATGTACTTGTAACTTCAGATTGCCTTCGCATGCCTCCACCAATCATAACACAGCAAACCAAATATAGAACTGTCTACTATTAAGCCACACATTAAAAATATTTGCCAAAATGTAAAATATGCTTCATATTTAAAGTTATTTTTTCATGAATAGTTACGAACATACAATAGATTTTGTCATTCTTAAATGAATATATAAATACTTTAGAAGTTTCTATTTTAATCCCTACTATAGTTGTTTATAGGTATAACCCATATAATCAAAAGTTCTTTGGGATCCTTAATAATTTTCTGGAGACCAAAGTTTAAGAGCTGCTTAGATAAATAAATCCTTTCACCCCATCCAATTGATGTAATTGATATTACATCAATATCCCAGACTCTGAAGTTAGATGCCTAGGTTACTTTTATCTAGAAGACTGCTTGGCACAATGTAAGGGCTACATGCATGGAAATTCACTACTGTAATTAAACAGTGTTTCTGCAGAGCATGTGGTTGACTTTTAAATTACATACAGTAGTCCCCATTTATTCACACACGAAAATATGTTCAAGACCCAGTGGATAGTACTAAACCCTACACACGTTTTCTCCTACACATACTTACCTACAGTAAACTTTAATTTATAAATTAGGCACAGTAAGAGATTAACTAGTAATAAAAAAAATCGTAACATTGTAGAAGTTACATAAATGTAGTCTCTCAAAATATCTTATTGTACTGTACTCACCCTTCTAGTGATTGGACACACGGGACCAAGGGATGATTCGTGTCCCAGATGGGATGGAACATGAATGACGTAGGCATTATGATGTAGCATTAAGCTACTAATGAATGACCTTCTGATAGATATGTCAGAAGGAGGATCATCTGGCTCCAGGTGATCCTGGATCATTGAGCCATGACAATGTTGATGGGTGGATGTCAGGAGCAGAAAATGTTGGTTGGAGAAATTTAATATTTTTGGAACTCAGTTGACCACAGGTAACTGAAACCTCGGATATAAGGGGACTAATATATACTGATTCTTCACATTGTCACTTTTTGTTTTGACTGCTAAAGTATCCAGAACCAAATTTATAGCCAACCTCTGTTTCTCCTCTGTAAAATGGGGATAATACCTATAATCTTAATAGAGATGTCATGAGCATTTAATGGATTATCTGTAAAGTATATGGCATCTAGTTCAAATGATCAAATTTAAAATATAAAGATCTTATCAAGAAGTCTGTATTGTATGTTTAGTCCCCAAGCCTAAATACTAATAAAGAACAAAGACCCTTTCCCAAATTACCATGCCCAGTACAAAGGGCAAATACAATTTGTTTTGAAGTTGAAAGTAAGCAGAGTTGTGATTTGCCTAAAGCCACAGACACCAGTTAACAAAGATTAGAGCATGTAGTGAATACTAAACCAACTGCTTCAATTCACGCCAATAAAAAAAAAAGTTATTATCAAAGATTATGTCAAAATCAAAGTATCATTTGGCATTACTTTGATAATGGACACATCACATACCAAAGTACTTTCTTGTGGTCAAAGCTGTTATGGTCAACAATCAGGATGAGCTATGTGGATTGTTTTCAAGGAATACTAGTCTTGGATCATAGGAACCATATCCACGAATCTACCCAAAATTACACTAGCACAATTTAAATTAAGCCTTTAAAAATGGCGTTTAAATCGTATTTTAAAAGCATTAAAGTCTTTAAAAGTATCCTAAACATCAAGCCATCAACCTTTTACAAAAAGCCAGTTTGGTGGGCAATATTTTATACTTACAGCATCTCTTTTCTTCTTTGATTTGCTATCATCAGATTCACTGTCAGATAAAGACTTTCTTTTTGTACCATCTTTTTCTTTACCAGCTTTTTGAGAATTAAGAAACGCTTCAATTAACTCTGGACAATCTAAATTTTCTTCAGGTTCCCAAGTATTGTCAGCACTGCATTCAGTTAAAAAAAAGTTCATTCGATTAAACATGGTTTATCACCGTCATCCAGATTCACTTAGTATATATCTGAAAAGTCCTCTGTGCTAACCACTTGTTCCCTATCCCTCAGCGTTCTTTTAACACAATGTGATCATACTTCCCTTATGTCTTCTTTCACAGTTCTTATCCAAGGGGGCAATCTGCTATATCACCCCAGGTTAACAAAACCTGATTCTAGCAGAATAACTGGAGCTAATATTTTTCCAAATTATGAAAACCCACTTAAAATGTGAATTCCTAGTTCCCACTGTAAATAGCTTTACTAGATTAATCAGAAGATATGTAGAGTTAGGGTCTCCAATACTGTGATTTAAAATAATTCTGAGGCATTCTCAAACATGAGATAGTACCTCCAATTTCTGCCGAGTGCTCAAATTGGGAAATGATATAAAGGAGGGATTGGCAACAGAAACAAAGTTAAACCCAGCCTTCTGACCTTTACATTTTTAATTGGTTGGAAAAATATTTCAAAATGAAAATTATAAAATTCAAATTTCAGGGCCCATAAACAAGGGCTGGAAAGAAAACAAGTATCAAGTACCAAATGTGAAAGTATGATCATCTTTCAACAGTGATAGGCTTGCAAACTTTGTGTGCTCTGATCCAAAAAAGCCTTTACACAGATAGAATGAAACTAATCATTTTAGAGATGCTGGGAAAGGTGCTATTAACCTCTGGTTTCAACTTGGTTTGCTCATTCAGACTTCAAAATTGGCAAACCTAAATTAGAGGGTGAAGGAGGACAAAAGAGCTGAAGTGGAGCCTCCATTCTGTAGTGTTCTTTTCATTACAGCCTTCTATATTACTTGACACATAATTCCACACATAGTAGCCTTCAGTTTGGGGAGAAAGGGAAGAGTTAGCTTACTAACATTTAATGGGTGGGACACAGAGTTTTTAATATGCCAGAAGGTTAAAAACAAGCAATAAAAACCAACTCTCTACCATATGAAGGTTATCAATTTGGGTTAAATCAAACTGGTTAAATCTAATTCAAAAATAGTTCAGGCTTATTTGCTTGGTTCAGTATTTATAGGAAAATTTTCTAGGGGTACATTATGAACTTATGATAAAAACCTGAATTCAACTAAGGGTACTGAGAAGATAAAATAGGAAAACCTAAACCTTCCATTCATTTCATACTTCCCAAACTGCTAGGAAGTTGCTTTAAAATGTGAATGGTGGAGATAGATTACAGATAGTTGAAGCCTAATAATTTGACTATTATACTCATCTCCATCATGCTCAGAAAATATTTTGTAGATTTCTACCTATTCATTATTAATAGTTGTTGCCCATGGACCCTCACTGTTTTTGTGGTGTAAGACAGAAGAGAATTCAAGCACATTAGCACACAATAAACATTAAGCATAAAATTTCTGCATGCAAGTTATTCACAAGACAACTAATATAAGCAGTTATGAGAACAACTAGTAACAAGGATCATGAGGAACCAGGGAGTTTAAAAAAATGCCCAGGCTCTACTTCTTTTTTTTTTAAAATACATTTTATTGATTTCAGAGAGGAAGGAAGAGGGAGAGAGAGAAACATCAATGATAAGAATCATTGATTGGCTGCCTCCTGGACACCCCCTACTGGGGATAGAGTCCGCATGTGCCCTTGGCCGGAATCGAACCTGGGACCCTTCAGTCCGCAGGCCAATGCTCTATCCACTGAGACAAACCGGCTAGGGCCAGGCTCTACTTCTTATAAAGATTTAGGCTAAAACCAGTTTGGCTCAGTGGATACAGCGTCAGCCTGCGGACTGAAGGGTCCCGGGTTCGATTCCGGTCAAGGGCATGTACCTTGGTTGCGGGCACATCCCCAGTGGGAGATGTGCAGGAGGCGGCTGATCGATGTTTCTCTCTCATCGATGTTTCTAACTCTCTGTCTCTCTCCCTTCCTCTCTGTAAAAAATCAATAAAATATATTTTTTAAAAAAGATTTAGGATACAGTAAGAACTGGATCATAACCAGCACTTCTGTTTAATACCCACTGGTCTACACTATAGACCCTCCATGTTTGTTAGTACTCTCCTCATGCAAGGATGATGCAGATTGGGAATTCTAATTAATTAGTATAATAGCGACATTGAAATGCATTACATAGCTTTGGCCCATGTGGCCCAATGGTTGGGCATCATTCTGTGCACTGAAAGGTTGCTGGAATGGAGTAGGGGGCTTGCAGGAGGCAGCTGATCAAGGACTTGCTCTCATAGCACTGTTTCTCACTTTCTCTCCTTTCCTCTCTCAAAAATCAATTTAAAAAGTACAACACAAAAAACATTACACAGCACTACAATTAATTCTATAATTTGATGCTCCAAGGTAATCAACTAGTCTCAAATTTGCTTGGCTAACCTGCAGGCTAAGAACTTGGTTCTTCTTAAACAGAACTCTAACAAGATACCCCGAATTAAAGGAATTCTAAAAATTTAAAGAAACCTATGGGAAAACTGATAAAAGATCTCAGGTTGAAAACAAGTTTTAAATGCTGCTTAAAAGCACTTAAACATAAAAGGGATTCACTCACTCTGTGAATCCTTTCCACTTCAGGAAATACTCCACCTTCCCATTCACTACACATCGATCCAATACTTTTTCCACTACAAATTCTTCAGGCTCTGCCTCTTCAACTTTTTTACTCTTTCCATTCTGTTTCTTTCCCATTTTTTGCTAAAACAAAACAAATAAAGAAAAAAAGAATTAAAAAAATATCTTGTTTTTTGGGTACATTTTAAAGGCTAAATTAATTGCTTATATTATTGTTGAATTTGAGACCTAAATTTTTACTTCTATATCCCAGGGTAGACACTTCCTGGGGGGAAAAACCCCAAAAAACCAACAGATACTAATACAAAAAGAAATATGTAATTAAGCTGATTTCGCTTAAACCTATTATCACCTTTCAATTAAATAATACAATAAAAAACACTGTGTGGAAAATACTGTTATCTTTTCCTGGTCTATTTCTACATCATCTACAAGATTGTGTTTACTACTTTTCACTCAGTTTAACCACACAGCCACTAGATGGTATTAGGAGATTAGACAGAGGAGAGATAAGTGGTAGTGACAGACCTTAGTAAGTGAACCAGTGAAATCATATCCCCCACACTCTCAGACACCCTTTGCCAATTCAAATACCAATGTTAAAAGCCTCAGCAATATAGAAAAAAGGTTAACTGCAATGAAAACATGGTTCAGAATCCTAGTATCAGTCACAGGATGAATTAAGGAGACCATGACTAGATTAAAAAGGACAAGATTATTTTTCCATAATCTCTATTGATAATATATATTACTGAACAACTGGAACAAAGCTATAAATGCTGTCATTTCAAGATGTCAAAATCCTGGATCAGTTTAATTGTGGGGGGAAAAAAATGAATCCTTCTTGGTTACTCAAAAGTTTAAATTGGGCCATGGCTAGGTGGCCGTTGGTTGGTGTGTTGCACCATACACCAAAAGGTTTCAGGTTCAATACGCAGTCGGGGCAAGTATAGGAGGCAACCAATCAATGTTTCTCTCTCTCTCTAAAATCAATAAAAACATATCCCTGTGGGTGAGGATTAAAAAAAAAGTCTAAATTGGTAGCCAACAAAATTCACTTTTAGTTTAGTTTTCTTTTTTCAAAGTATAACACTTTAAATAGAGAAGCAGGAAACTAAACCCAAATCACTGTTTTCTAATAATTTAAACAGATTTGTTTTAAGAGGACTGAAAATGAGTAAACTTTTAAAACTCCACATAACTAGCTCGGCCGGTGGCTCCGTGGTTGAATGTGGACCTATGAACTAGGAGGTCACAGTTCCATCCCGGTCAGGGCACATGCCCAGGTTACGGGGTTGATTCTCCAGTGCAGGGTGTACAGGAGGCAGCCAGTCAATGATTCTCTCTCATCATTGATGTTTCTCTCCCTCTCCCCCACTTTCTTCCTCTCTGAAATCAATAAAAATATATTTAAAAAAATATAAAAGCAGAAAAAGACAACAGAATACCAGAAGATTGCAAAAGAACATTTAAACTATGTAGTTTTTTAGAGGTACACACACATATTACTTGGGCACTGCACCCAATCAGATAATTTTCTGCTTCTGTGCAGTACAAGGAAGGTAAGCATGGTAGTGAGACGAATGAAGAAAAATTGGGTGAGAACAAAAGCATATTAGACACTAATCATAAATGACAAACAAAATAGGTCCATGAGGATAAGAGATGTACAGAATAAAGATGACAAAAAATAAACACTGAAAATGAAAAGGATAAACCCTCAGGCTAGATAGAATTATTTAATACAGATAGAAAAAGTTGTGTACAAAGTCAATTTAATCCTATATAATAAGTTAATATGCAAATTGACCAAATGGTGGAAGGACCAGTCGCTATGACACGCACTGACCACCAGGGGCAGACGCTAAACGCAGGCGCTGACCCCTGGTGGTCAGTGCGCTCCCACAGGGGGAGCAACTAATAGCCAGAAGCCTGGCTCACACAGTGGCAGTGGCAGGAGCCTCTCCGGCCTCCGCAGCAGTGCTAAGGATGTCCGACTGCCGGCTTAGCAGGAAGGGGGTCTAAGTTATCAGTTAGACATCCCCTGAGGACTCCCAGACTTCGAGAGGGTACAGGCTGGGCTGAGGGACTGCCGAACTCTCCTCCCCACCCCCAAGCCGGCCCCCAGTGCAAGAATTTTGTGCACAGGGCCTCTAGTTTTAATATAAGCATCTACTTGCTTTCTGTATTTATATTCATCCTCAAAGTACCAAGCATAGTTAGCTCCTTTCCCATCCAATATTTGGACATAGGTGACCATAAAGCCAATTCAATCACATACACTTTGGCTTACTGATTATGGAATTTGAAAGTTCAATTCTGAAGGGGCACAGAAGATGCTTTGTGCTTTTTCCACTGATGGCTTTGATGAGAATCAATTGCATTATTGGCGCACCAGACAGGTTTTATATTTCATATTCCCCAGGATATTTCATTTACATGTGCACTCTAATGATGACACAAATTATAAATCACCAACTTGTCCTTTAGTGTATAATTCAAGAAGAAAATGTACAAACCAAGACCAAATGTTTTGCTTTATTTAGATGTCAATACCTTTATATACTTAAGATTATTAATGCAGTGTGTCAGAATTAAATACTGTAGAAATCATAACTTTGAATTTCATGATTCTCATGTGAATAGCCCAGTTTTTTAAACTTACAAGTTGACCGAATGTACAATGTTTTTACACATTTGTAGAACTTTAAATGAAGCCTAAGAATAAAACTTTGGCTTTAAGAAACGGGAGAGAAAAACGTTATCTGCTCATATGCTACATTCTTCTCTCCTTATAGATGTGCAGTTTGGTTCATTTTGTATATTAAAAAGAATGGGCAGTGATTCAAATTTAAGGCCCTTGTGTATTTTAGAGTAAGTTTGAGATATGACAAAGTGCCCAAAGTATTTGAAAGAATCAATGAGTCTTGACCCAGTCTAACTGGGTATCTGTTCTTTAATCTGGGCAATACTGCAAATACTTGATTTCTCTAGAATTCAGTACACAGTGAGTTAGGTAATATGACAATCAACAAAGGCTTTCCTGCTTTGTCCATAATTGTAGTCTTCCATGTTACATACATTTGTGCACTTTTATTTCAAGATAAAAATCTAGTCATTAACATTCATACTGGGCTATACTCAAGTTTAGGCTCCCTTAACTTAATCAAAATATTAGGCCAAATCAATAATCTCCATGTAATGAGTTCGTTTTTGCAGCTAATTCTTCCCATAACACTGGGGGGAGAGGGCACTGGGGAATATAAATGGATGTAAATTTCTCAGTCACTGAAATGCAAAGTTATAATTTTCAGAGGAAAAATTTGAGTTAGATCCTTACGTATTTTAGGTTTTTATTAACTTACCAATGTAGTTTTATTGGAGGCCATTTTTTATTGCAGACTCCAAGAGCTATTACTAGAAAAATGCATGACAGTTAAAAGGAAGTTTGCATGACACAAAAAGGTAGCTAAACACAAGTGTCGTTTGGATCCCCCCATGTATACAAATCCACTGAGCAGCAATGTGAACTGCTGCGTAAGTTATTAGTAACATACTCCTGGGAGTGTATCAGTATTCAACCGAGTGGTCTAGAAACCTCATGGGGACACCGGTACTAAGACAGCTTTACAGGGCAAAAAACTGCAGACATCCCCCCCCCCCAATCTCATTTACACCACACTCAGTATTTAAGGATGGCCAAATATTTTGGTTCAACATCAGACCCAATTACCCAATCAAAATGATAAAGTGCCGTGAATTTTCCCTCGAGGCCTCCTTCCTAACAGTTCTAAAGGTCGCCTAGGTAACCCTAACTTGGCTTCTTCTTGGAAACCTTCCCTCTTTCCAGTCACTCGTTAAAAAAACTAAATGGAAAACACTCCACGATGCTTCAGTTCCGTTTGGTACCGCTTGAAAACAACCCGCTCCGAGGCACCTCCGTCCGCCCCCCGAGCCCCGGGTCC